TGCCTGTAATCCTAGCTACTCAGGAGGTTAAGATCTGAGGACAGCAATTCAAACCCAACCTGGGTAGGAAAGTCCCTGAAACTTTTCCCTCTGATTAACCACCAAGTAACTGAAGTGGTGCTGTGGTTCAATGTGGTACAGCATTAATGGTAGGGCTAAAAGGAACTCAGAGACAGTACCCAGGCTGTCAAGTCCTCACAAACAACAACAACAACAAGAAAGAAAGAAGGAAGGAAAGAAAGAAAGAAGGAAGGAAGGAGAAAAGAAAGGGAGAGAGGGAGGGAGAGAGGGAAAGAAAGAGGGAGGAAAAGAAGGAAAGAAAAGAAAATGTAAATTTGCTAAGGAATTAAAGTATAAACTAATTTGACAATTAAATTTTTTCTCCAGAAAAAAGTAAAATATATTTGTAAATGTGTGTGCATTGTACAGTATACATACACAGACACACATAGTACCTACTATATCATATGATGTTATCTCTATCCATATAAGTAATTATGAAAATGTCTATAATTTGTACGTCTTGACACAAATATATTGCTTATTATATTTAAAAATATTCTATTCAGTTATTCAGTTATGTGTTATGTTTTTAACATGTTGGACTGAAAACCTTTTGTATATAAGGGTGATTGAAAAAACTAAAAGGTGTTTGTAGATGTCTTTGGAGACGGCATTTCTACCTTGACTTTTGGCTAATTTATATTTTCATTTTAATTTATTGGTCATCATTTTCTTTATAAACTTCACAGTGCAAATGTGGATATCATTCAGAATTCAAGATAATAGCATGGTTATTCGTCATGTATGAAAGTCTATGAGGAAAATATTCTAAGCATTTCAGGGGAAGATTTTTAAAGTCATATCATAGTTTCTTTTTTAATATTTTTCAAAAAGTAAACTGACTTCACAAACACCAACTATAACATGATTTAGACAACTGAGAAACAGGCAAGTATATTTTTTAAAATGCTAAAATAAAACACATTTATACAAGTACAAAGCGAAACAATGCTGATAAAAATGTTATACTTTATGAAAAAAATCATTTGCAATTCACATCAAAATAATTTAACATTCTCTATTATTTTAATAGTACAAGCTTCAACAACAGAAAAAAGAAGAGATACGCGCACACAAGTTTAAACCAAATCTGTTATAAGTGCAGAAAAAGTAAGTACAAGCACTTGTAGCCCACACAAATCTTTTAGGATTGGCACCATCTCTCTAACACATCTATATTCTATATAGATTTCTAATTACAACATCGCCAGCAGCTGCCATTGAATTCTAGAAATACACACAATATACATAGTATATTTGTTCACATTGAGAAGATCAGTGGAAGTCAGCCAACTATTTATACATGCCTCATTCTGCAATAGACAGTAGACTCTCCCAGGCCTCAGACCTTCTTCAAGGCAAATTCTGTTTACTCTTTCTGCTTTCACTGATCCATTAATTTTTTTTCACAGTATAAAATTGTAAATGGTAACTATAGAGATTATGACAGCTTGAGGGTTATTAATAAGCTGTTGCTAAATGTGAACTCATATAATACCTTTGAAGTCTCCAAAACATGTACATTTTGCTGAGAGACTAGTACAGGAAATGTTTTTTGTGTTTTTTTTTTTTCTTAAAAAGAGTGTTTAATTCCTGGTATGGAAGTCACAGAACTTCAGCAGAGCCATTACACAATACATTTACAATCAGAAAAAGTTCCTAGTCTTCCTGGTCACTTGCTGTTACCTCAGTAGTTCGGGGAAGACTATCACTTTCAGAGATTAGCTCATTTGGGGATTTGCTTTTTTATCCTTGCTGCAAGAAAATTTCTTCTGACTTTCCTTTCCATCCTCCCTGTGTTCCCCACCCCTGTCCCCCCAAAGACAGTCATCCACACACATTTTTGTTGGTCTTCCCAGGCATTCCAACCCCTCTCCTAAACTAGAAAGACAAGTGGATTGTTTAGCACAACTTGAACAACCAGGTTTTCTCCTTTTCTTCCCAGGACCAGACTCTCCTTTGTTATCACTTTTCCTTTTCCTTTTTGTCATTACCTTCCAAACTGAGTTATTACTGGGCACCAGGAACAAATTGTTTGCAAGGAAAGTCAATAAGAACAAGTACCCCCAGTGAACTGTGAAGTTCATATCCTAGCCCTAAGTAACTATTCCTTTCTCTTTGTATTGTAGAATTATTACTTGGAACCTGGTACTAGGATTGGCAAAGAGACAGAACTAGCATCATTCCAAAATAAAAGATCTCAAGAATGTATTACTGTTAATATTATGTCCAAATATACAATGCAATGAAGTGGTAAAGGTTATAGAAATATAGAGAAAAAAACATCTTATTCTCCTCTCACTGGATTTTTTTTAATTACGATTATGACATCTTGTGATATTACCAGATGAAAATTTACTTATGTCACATTTGAATTTATAGTGAAATTTCTTAAAAGGTGGTGTACTTTTTAAAGAAACATGTCACTAAGATATTAGAACAGAAATTTGGGCATGAAGAAAGTTTAAAAATGTTTTCCTGTTGGTCAAAGAAGTGAAACTTACTGTACTTGAGAATAAAATGAAAACCATTGTAAGAATTTAATACAACATATTTTAAAAAGAGCATATTTATAAAGTATTAATACTTAAAAAATCAAAACAATGACCTTCATGTGAGGGCTCAGGGATATTATATTTCAAAATACTTACATTATTTTCCAGGTAGAGGCGGATATTTACTTTCAATGAAGCCATAAAGATTAGCTACATTTCATTTCTATTTCAAGAGTCTCATTAATATTTAGAATCAGGAGGCTCTGCTAATGTTATTTCCAAATCTGACATAAGAAACCTGTTTTCTTTTAAATTAATATTGTAGTTAATCAATGAATGATAAATGTTTATATTGGGATATTTGATTTAAAATGCCAAATAATCGGTATGTGAAAAGAAATGCCAATAAGCAATATATTTATTATAGTTTTTCAAAAGTGGAGAATGATAAATTATATAAATAGACTTTTATTTTTTTAATTTCTTTTAAGTTGATGTCAAAATAAATATATAGAGCCAAAAGACTTCTATTTATTTTTCTCTGTGCCAAAAATATACTTTGCCTCAGAGCAGAGTAAATCTTTTTCATAAGGCTATCTTTAGTGTAAGGCTGGGTCAACTGAACACTAAATTTATAGGACACCTCCTCCTTTTATTACTATCTTTATTTAAAAATCAAGGACGTTTGGTACCTGAGGATAGCTTCAATGAGAGGAATAAAGTGGTCATGGTGGATTCAGGACTTGAGCAGCGATTACTATCTATATGAGCCTATTAAAGCACATTTTTTAAAATTATAACTCTAAATCTCTTTTCTGCAGTAGTTAAAAGATGACAGTATGAAATGCACAAAATCAGATCCATAATTATTTTTAAGTAAAGTAGTAATAATTGCTTTGCCTTTTTTGGAATGGCTAAGAAAGACTGTGGTTGATATTCATTAGGGTTCTTCTGTTTTTAGTATTCTGTATTGCTTTGAAAAAAAATCTACATTTGTCATAGTTCATAGCTGCATCATTGAAGCAGCCAAGAAAAGTTAAAATGACTGTCACTGGAATAGCGAAATCCTCGCTACACCGATTAGACACACTTTAAAATTTCCAGTGTATTAAGATCCTGTTAATATTTTTTTCAACAATAGTTCCTCCAAGTTGGACAACTTCTTCATTAGGTCTCTGGACCACTCTTCCAGGAGTGAGACTCAAAAGAGAAGACGGAGGAGCTCTTTGTACATCAGGTTCTCAAAAGAAAAGAATGGAGGATCTCCAAATGCATTCTCTTAGTACTAACGGAACAGGGTGACTGTGTGTCATGAAAGAGATAGCCAGGCTGGAGCTCAGGAATTATTATAAAGAGAATTTCCAGCTACACAATGCACCCCAGTGAGGGAATTACAAAACAGTATTCCAGAAAATATTTTTTTTTTTTTTGCTACTCCAGTATTGATTGGCAACATGGTGAAATAGTCAAGAAATCTTCCACTGGTTTTCTTGGTTAATGGAAGCGAATCTGAAATAACTAGGTGGCATCCAGGTGCAGGCTTTTGGAAGAGCATCTCACAACCAAATTGGAGAGGAACCTCTGTAGTAGAAGCCCTAGGTACATACGCACAGCATTCAATATCCAGTTGTGTGTTTAGGTACGGGACACTCACACCTCAGTAAAAACCGGGCCCAAGTTACTGCTTTGCAATGCCTTTAAAGAAAAAGGGAGAAAAAGTAAGAAAAGAAGGGAGGGAGGAAAGATGGGAGGGAAGTTAAAAAACAGGAGAGAGGGCAAGAAGGAAGGAAGGAAAAAGGAAAGAAGAAAGTGGAAGAATGAAAGGGAGTGAGGGAGAGAAGGAAGAGGAAAGAGTATAGAAGGAGGGAGGGAGGGAGAGAGGGAAGGAGGGAGGGAGGGAGGGAGGAAGGAAGGAAGGAAGGAAGGAAGGAAGGAAGGAAGGAAGGAAGGAAGGAAAGAAAGAAGGAAGGGAAAGATTGACATTTTTGGTCCCAGATTTTCAGTTTGTTAGAAAATGTACATTCATGTTTGGTGAATCAAAGACTCTTCTGGGAAAAGAATTAAAGTAAGCAAACAAAAAAATTTTTTACAGTTGCTTATTAATTATGCTTTCCCCTTCCACGATGGTGGTCCTCCTCACTGACTGCTTCCCCAGACCAAAGCACTTGGTTCGCAATCGCTTTAGCAGACTCCTTGTGAGCCCTCAAACATACAAGCAGTGTTTCTTGAAAGCCCATGTTTTCTAAGGCCACTAGAAGGAAATCTGCCGAGAAAGCTTCGTGGTCGGTGTCGAGGTCGGTTGCGGCGGAGTAGCACGCTGACGGCCGGCCGGGTTCAGGATGCACTAGGCCGCTTCCCCCGCGCTGGGCTGGAGGCGGTGGGGTCCGAACGCGGCCGCGCGAGTCCGCCCGCGCGCGTCCCACGTGGCTGCTCCCAGCACACTCACAAGGACGAGGAGCTCTGAGTGTAATCGCGGATGATGAGAGCGTCATATTTGGGAGAGGACGGGATGCACAGGGCCGACTCGGACACCGGCGAGTTGGGGGTGGTGCTTCCCGAGTCCACCGAGTCTCGGAATGGGGAGGGCGGCGTGAGGGCCACCAGCTCTTCCAGGTCGGGCTTGCAGGGCGCGGCCTCGGCCCCGGCGGCCTCCGGGGCGTCTTGGGGCGCGGTCCCCCCAGGCGAGGGCCCCGCCCCGGGCTGCGCGCCGCCGGTGACCTCGATGGCTGGGAGCGGCTGGATCTCGGCGAAGGTCGTCACTGTCGTGGGCAGCTGGATTTCCTTGGGGATCAGGTAGGACGAGCAAAGCGGGGCGCCGGGGCCCGGGCCTGCCGCGGGGGCCAGCATCATGGAGTTGAGCTCGCTGATGTTGGCGGTGAAGCGCGTCACCACGCTGCTGATCTGCTCCATGAGCGAGCCCTGCGCTGGGCCCCCGCGCGCCGTGGGCTCCGCCGGCCGCGGGGCCGCGTC